CTCCTCCGACTCCGTCATCTCCTCGGGCAGCGACTCCGACAGCAGCCTCTACAAGGTGATCCTGCTGGGCGAGCACGGCGTGGGCAAGACCAGCCTGGCGCGCATCTTCGGCGGCGTGGAGGATGGAGCGGACGCGGACGAGGCCGGTGAGGGACCCGCGGCACCTCCCCGGGCGGCCCCCACGGCCACCCCCTCCCAGACCTCCCAGGAGAATAACTTCTTTTGTTCTGAACTTTTTTTTTTCCCCCCGTAGGAAATACATACGACAGATCAATTATTGTCGATGGAGAAGAAGCGTCTCTCGTGGTGTTTGATATATGGGAGCAGGTACTTAACAGCTTTTTCTTTCTTTTTCCTCTATGGTTTGGTCCGTGGTTCTCATTAAAAAAAAAGTAGAAATGGAACAACTATGCTGACATTAAAAAATTGGAGTTCATACTGCCTTTTGTTCTCTCCTGCAATTAATTTCTTGTAGCTAGGCAGGCAATTAAAAAACCTGAATAGAGCTGGAGTGAGAATCCCTTAATGCTTTGAATAATCAGCAGCTTACATGAGCAGCCCAGGGAATTACTGTAAAATTAGAGATTCACAATCTGATCAGTGCAGACCTGATACCATTTCTGGAAACAAGAGAATTTTCTTTTGTGTTGCATTTTAAAGAACAAAATCTTTAAAACTGTTGGGACGTTGGCTTACTTTTACTGACTCTTTATAACAAAACTAAGAAAAATATCTATAAGGTGCTCACATTAATTACATCATTACTCACTGTTGAATAGATTTTTCAGTGCAATAAATCTATTTCTTGTCTTCTTTTTAGGATGACAGCCAATGGCTCCAGAACCACTGTATGAAAATGGGAGATGCCTATATTATTGTGTATTCAGTGACAGACAAAGTTAGTTTTGAAAAGGCCTCTGAGCTAAGAATCCAGTTAAGAAGAGCAAGGCAAACAGAAGACATTCCTATTATCCTTGTGGGCAATAAAAGTGACCTGGTCAGGTCCCGGGAAGTCTCAGTTGATGGTAAGAGACACTATGAATTTGCACAATAATGTCTAAAGTAGTAGCAAAGACTGTGGAGGATCGTGGCCAATAGAAATTGTCTGGGTTTGATGTAGAAAAATGTATGATTTGGAGTACACTGGAGAAATGAAGCCAGCTGGTTCCTGCTGAGGGACCTGGTACCACAGAAAGCAGTGGAGATGGTGCTGGGGGAAGATGTCTGAACTGCAGTATGAGAGAAAAAAATGCATCAGAGCTGTAGCTTTAGCACCCTGCTTTGTCTAGGACCTGTTTTTGGTCAGTATTATCTTAAGGCTTTCACTGCATGCGCTGTGTGCAGCAGCAGTTGCCAGGCTCAGGACGGGGTAGCCCGAGCTTTGCTTTGTGAGGGACTGGAGCTGCCACGTCACAGAGCCCAGGCAGCCTTTGGAAAGGGTGATCCCATACAGCCTGTACAACCCCCTTCTTCTGGAAGGGATTCCATCACATCTGAGTTGAGCTGGTGGGACCAGCCTCTCACAACTCAACATCTCTTTGTAGATGTTCTCTGGTTGTGATCAGTGAGAATTTCTCAGCTGGTTCCAGCTTGCATTTCAGTAACCAGAGCACAGGAACCACTGCCAACACCACAGTATTAATTCTGTGAAATTTGAACATTTTGTGAGGTTTTTTTGTTTGTTTACTCTGGAATATTGGTGCCTGGATGATGATGAACCATCCCTTGCTGTCAGGTTTTGCCATGATCCCTGTGCTAAATGCCTGCATAGGGGGTTGATTTGAGTTCCTCAGGAGATTATCACTTCTTTCGGGCCGGTGGCAGTGCATGTTTGACCTGCCCTGGTTCTGACATCCATACTTTCCTCAGGTTTACAACTTGGCCATTATTTACCACAGTTGACCATGGAAACTTGTGCTGCAGCAACGTTCCAGGGTTTTGTGCTCATGGCTGGAACACTGAGCATCTTGCATTTCGAATGCAGCCCCAGTCAGATCCAGGGGTGTGCAACCTCATGACCTCTAGTGACATGTTCAGTGACTTGACCCTGTGGCCTGCATCAGCTTCATTTGCAGTTAGTGTGGAAAACTCACTTGTTACAGCAAGGCAGAGGTGCAGAATTGCTCAACAACTTCCAGAATAAAATCCATTTCTTTCTATACCTCGCACTGTTCCTTATCAAACAGCAAACATGCATCCAAGTGCCTCTCCTGTATCAGCTTTACTCTTCACAATACTGGGACAGTCTGGCATTCAGTGCCATTGGTCAAATGAGATTTCTGACCACACCACAACAAAACCAAGAGTAAGGGGGCAAAACCGTGAGAGCCAATTTGGGCTTTTCTACTATAGAGTAAAGCTCTTTCCTGGCATTGAAGGCATTTTCTGTGCTTAGAGCCAGTTTTTGTTTTGTTTTTCTGCCCTATGTAAAATGAAGAGAAAAAGTCCATCTCCACTCATGTTCCCTCTTCTCTTTCCCTGCAGAGGGCCGGGCCTGTGCTGTGGTGTTTGACTGCAAATTCATCGAGACCTCAGCTGCTCTTCACCACAACGTCAAGGACCTGTTCGAGGGCATCGTTCGGCAGATCAGGCTCCGCAAGGACAGCAAGGAAGACAATGCCAGGAGGATGGCCAACACCAAGAGGAGGGAAAGCATAGGCAAAAAGGCAAAGCGATTCCTTGGGAGAATTGTGGCAAAGAACAATAAGAAGATGGCTTTCAAGGCAAAATCAAAGTCCTGCCATGACTTATCAGTGCTATAGGAGCTCTCAGCAAGGCCAGATGGTGCACGTGATGAACAGGCCTTGGACTGTTATGAGAAGTGTGTAGATGATCCTCGTGGTGATAACAAGAATGACTTATCCATTGAGACTCATTAATGCCTTAAGGTGCTCAAGCAAGTCTGGAAGTTACACCACAATGCTTCATTGATAAATGGTTTAAGTTTCAATGTGTGCAAGTAAATGAACTAACTTGAAATATGTGGCTTGACATGCCCACAATTTCGCTGTGTACATATGTTCTATATCCTCTTGTCCTGTGGATACCAGAGATGAAAAGATAAGAAAGAATAATAAGTATCACCATAGACTTGTCTCGTTTGCAGAGCAAAACTTAAACTTGTACGCAGGCTCGTACACTCTTTTTAGTATAATGCAAGCAATGATAAATCTTTTTAAACTTCAGTGTGGGGAGGAGGGGGTAGAACCACATCAGAATGGGAGAAAACAAATTATATATATATTTAAATACAGAACAGATATCATTTTATGAAGTTAATTTGCACTTCCATTAACTGTTATTCAATGAATTGGTTACTTGTTTACATGCAGATTTTATAATAAAGTATTATTTCCTGTTATAATAAACTGTGCTTTTCTCATAGTATGGGTAAAGAATGGGAGAGCAGTATTTTTATACTGAACTTTTTCAGTGTACAAAACATTATACAGAGACCATGTAGATTTACCTGTGATAAAGTTCTAGAACAAGTTGAATTGGGAAAATCCTGTGTCATTTAATAGATAATTTCTCTAAGAAACAAACCCTGCTTTTATGAACACTCTGCTTCAACAGCTCATATGAGAAGGAAGGCCCTGACCCTTCATATTATGTTCATCCTCAGTCTGGTTCTCATCGGCTGTGGCAGGAGCAGGGCTCTATAAAATGCCTTTAGTTAGGTTGAAGTCTTGTGTTTATACTGATAAATTGAATCCTGTCGTGTTTGAAGTCCTGTCCTGGCTTGATGATCTTGTGTTACAGCCAATAAGCAAATGCAGGAGGTTGTTTTTTGTCTTTGTGGAGCAGTGTAACAGTCTAATCTACCCACAATCGTGTGGACCCCTCCCAGTGGTTTCAGGAAGTTCAAGGCAGCCTGGTAAAGGTGTTTGGAGGAGTTCTAGGTTTCAGTTGTGTCTTGTGGCCTTCAGTGCTGTTAAAGTTTTCATGTTAATTTAGTGTGTTATAATCTATGTGTTCCCATGATTCTTCCCTATTTGCTATTAATGAAGTTAAAACCCAATTATGTCGCAGTGAAAAAACTTGGGCTTATGGCATTTGCCTTATAAATTCCTTTTCATGGGATAATTCTCTTAAAAGTAATCTGTGAACTTAATTCTCAAAACCAGTAAAACATAGGACCTTCTCTTTCTCCTGTCCCTGCCTGGATCCCACTTGTTAAAGAGGTTGTTCAGCTTCCCAAGAGCCCTGTTTGTGCAGGGTGCTGAGGGGTGACCTTTCCCCTACAGCACGAAGATTCCATCAGCTGGTACAGCTCACACTGGGCTTCCCAGAGTTCAGGCAACTCTCCACTGATTTATCCCAGTGCTTGGGCCATTTAGTTATCCCGTGCTTGGAACATGGAACAGTTAATACTGCAGGAAATCCCACCTGATTTCCACAGGGAATGCAAGAATTAGTGTCTCCTGATGTGCTGCTGGTGGACACAACTGGTTACAGCACAGTTCAGCTTGTGTTGCTGATAACAGGTCACATTTCTTATGAATAGAGAATTTTGTCCTGCTGAAAACCCTCACATTTACCTGAGGATACATTTTAGGTGAATTTGGCTTTTCTTTAACTAGCCTGGCTTCCTGGCAAGGTGTTCTCTGCTATGGAACATGTAAACACTGTCAGAGGATCTGTGTACATGGCAGCTTTTAACTGGTAACACCAAAGCAATTGCTCTAAGCCTGAAAATTCTACAGCAAGAGTGTCCAAACGTGCATAAATAAACATGGTGCATACCTGTTCCTGTCCCTGCTGAGGTTATGACAAACCTACGTGGTGTTCCTGGGACTTTTGGGTGCTTTCACAATGGCCAGGAGAGGACTGACGTGTCTGATTGGTTTATGAGGTTAAATTCTGTCCATAATAAATACAAGGCATGGGATGCAAACCCAGAGTTTAAGACAGGGTATGTCACAAAGTAACAATGATGTGTCTCAGTGCTGCAGCATCTCTGCAGCTGCAAAGCCTCTTCAAGGTCGTGGTCAGCAGCTCTGACATACAAATTAGATGTTTTACTGTTCATGAACTCACAGATTAGTTTTGGGCAATTTTTAAACCTAAGATATTTCTAAGGGGCTCTAGTGCATTCCTAGAGATTCATTTAAAGTGTGGAAAATAATCTGTATTTTGAAAGTATGTCCTTTAGGACACTGTGAGACGATAAACAGGGAATCACTCTAAAGCAACGTGGGCTAATCTAGAATGTTATCAGTTAATATTGTATAATAAAATACTTATTGAAATCCTCATTATACTGATTTTTTTCCATTCATTTGTTTGTACAGGTATTAGCATAATTCAGCCACAGTTCTTAAGAAGGGGAAGGGTTTGTTGTTATTGCAGCTCTGACATAAACCTGGTCTAGAAGATTCTTGAGTGCTGTTTTGGAGAAATTTTGAAGCTCCTCGAAGATATCCTACCCAGAAAAATTACTAATTAATTGGATGTAATTTAGTGGAATTTCCAAGCAGAATTTTTTGCAAGTCCATGTGCAGCACCAGCCAAAATTCAGTAACAGGCAGCTGACAAATGTTCCTAAAAACCAACCTTCAAAAGGTTGTCTGTATCCTCAAACATTTGAAAGTCATCTATAGGTTTTTGTCATTTGAGATGTTTTACTGGTGTAGTTGCTCAGATTCTTGTAATTAATGAGGGGAATCTATCATGTGAAAAATAGTGAGTCCTGGACAGCAACATTTTCTCTATTTATTACCAAAGTAGAACAGAGTATACGGGGTGTGAGATTTTGCATTTTTTGCCAGTGCACATCAGTTTTAATTTGGAGAGACAGTTCACACAGTCATTTAATCTTTACTGCTTTCACTGCTGCTGCCAGCTGAAGTTCCTACTACTGCTGATTGTGGTGGTGGATTTTGTGTTGGCACAAATCCATTTGGAACAGCTACTTATTAACAACTACAGTGGAAGGACGTTGCCTTTTATATGTGACATGTATGTTAGGTGAACAAATCAAAGCCTCCTGTGCTTGCTATTGCTAATCTAGATTCTGTAAATTCTTCATCATATGAAAAACGTGAAAAAAAAATCATTCCTCCATCTGCCAAAACCAAGAAGCATAAAGTCATGTCACATAAATATAGACAAAATGTTATCTGCTGGGGGAAGACTTGGCAACACTAAAAATGAAGTTTTACTCAGATGCATTTTCTCAAAATAGGACTAGAAAAAACAGAGCACGATCTACATGGCGACACTGGGTAACATCAGTGCTCGTTACTGCAAGTATGGTGAGATAACAATGATGAAGAATACAGTGTATGATAGAAGAGTGATAAAATCTAATAAGCAAAAAGTGAGTTAATACTTATGCTGAAATTTGCTGTAGTACTCTTTATCCAAAGACAATGTACAGGTTTAGTTTCAAGCACATCACAGGGACCTTGGTGAATCTACAGTCCCAACCAAATGTGATGCCTGTGCCTTCCAGGAGGTTCCTTTAACTTCTAACTTACCACATGACCTCCAGCATTGTGATGGACAACTTGACTCCTCCTTTGCATAAAAGAACCTGACCTCCAGGATGGTTGAAGTAGTTAACCCCTAAAAATTGAAATAGTAAATTACATCAACTGTCCTTGTGCTCCATGCCATGAATGTGGAACAGAGAAGGAAAAGATAAAAAGAGAGAACAAATTCCAATCGTATATCTGCAAACAATATTTCTGTAACCCACTGTTCAGAATTAAAGAGCATTCAAGAATTCAAAACCAACATTGTTTAACTTAAAAATGTACTGAGGATTGCAGCACTAGAAGTTAGGAAGCAGGCTAAGAAATTTACTTCAACAGCTGGTTCTTCACCAACAAAATAGTATCAGTTATGTCCTACAAAAAGGTTCTGGCCACTGGGTAAAATGGCAGCGTGTGTCCTAAAGGCTTTCCTCTCTCTTGCTCTCTTCTCTTCTGCCCTTTTTTCCTCTCTATAAATGTGCTGTCCAATGAATCATTGGAAACCAGTTAAGAGCCTACAGAGTTTTTTCTAATAATTCCCATATTTATCACAGGAAATGAAGAAAATATTAATCTGAACTACAATTTAGTGCTCAGAGACAGAGATAAGCAGAATACATTTGAAAATATTCACTTTCTCACCCTCCTAAAAAACCTTATCTAAGTTCTGAAACAGGGATTGGAGAAAGGAAAGGATTTGGAGCACGAGTGCTCCTGCTCAGAATGGTCTGGTGAGACCCATGAAAATCTCCTCAGCTTGTTCATGGCAGTAAGTCCCACTGCCATCAGCCTCATTACAACAGCATAAAAAATTACTGTTAAGCCTGCAGTCCCACTGAAGGTGGTGGCCCTTGCTTTGGGAATGACAGTTCTCAGTTTTCAGATGCTTTGGCAGAGGAGCAGTAGTTTTTGTTGTGTCTAAATTGGATTATTGTAATGCACTCTGCTTAACAAAGAGCTTTCAGGAGCTCCAGGTAGGAGGAAACACAGCCCTGTTAATAAATCTGTCTGGGTGAAAAGGAGCACAACATTTTAGGGTGGGTTCCCTTGTGTTTTTAGGGGAAATGATGATCTTAGAAAGGCTGTAAATAGCACTGGACATGACTAATGTCAAAAAATGCCTCACTTTGGTGCGTGTTTCTTGGGTGGCTGCAAAGCTTGTTGAACATACCACAAAGTCAGCAGAATGGCTTGATTTTGGAGTGTTCAACAAGAACAAATTTTGCATTTCTAATGGCAGGTATTCAGGTATCTGATCTCAGGTGTCTGAATCACAGGAGTTCAGTGCATTTGACCCTGCAATGGTGACTGCAAAGGTCGTGTTCATTGCTCTGCAGATCAAGGGTGTCCTACTGGACTCACAGAACCACAGAATGTGCTGAGTTGGAAGAGACTCACAAGGACCATCCAGTCCAACTCCTGGCCATGCACAGGCCCATCCCCAGGAGTCACCCCCTGCCAGGATCATCCAAACCCTCCGCAGCTCTTGGCACCATGGGGCTGGTGCCCACTGCCCTGCGGGAGCCTGGGCAGTGCCCAACCAGCCTCTGGGGGAGAACCTTTGGCTGAGATTCCACCCTGGAGCCTTTTGCCCTGGGCACAGGCTTCCAGCCATTCCCTGCTTTTGCTGTCCTGGTCCCCCCAGAGCAGAGCTCAGTCCCTGCCCCTCCTCTGCCCCTGCCCAGCAATTGGAACTGCGCTGAGGTCTCCCCTCAGTCTCCTCTGCTCCAGCTGAACACACCTGGTGACTCAAACACACAATGAACTTTAAAACCCTGCTGAGCTGCAGCAGCTGCAGATCCTCCCAGGCCTGGCCTTGAAATTCAGAGGAGTGTTCACCACCCCCCTTCAGTGAAAACAGTAATGGAACTCTTTGGGTATCACC